CAGCAGCCGCTGCTGAGGGGCTTGAAAATCTGCAGAGCATCGGCCATGTTATGGCGATAGACTGAAAGGCTGGGAGGGGCCCTGGAGGAGGAGGGGGCACAGCAGATGCCCTTCTAGGGAGAGGGTGGGGAGGGTAGAGAAATCGAGAAGGGGTACAGGGAGGCTCTGTCACCCCAGGCGGGGCTGAATGCCACTGCATCCGGGATGATTGATGGGTCGTGGCAGGACCAAGGACAGGGGGACCCACCCTGTGTCTGCCTCCAGGGATCAAGCTCTCTTGGCACAGATCCCAGGCACCCCTGCAACAGTGCAGGTTTAATGCTAGCACTGACCACCGGAGGGACTGGGCGAAGGGCATCAGGAGCCTGGGAGGGCACCTGGGTGGCAGTGGAAGGAGCTGGCCATGGTGAGGGCGCCGGCTCCATTGTGAATTTGCGGCAGGGAGGGGGCGGGGAGGCTGGGTGGGCAACATGGCGGTTCTCAAAGAGACCACGTCCTTGTACTGGCTCCCGCCCCCACCCATGCACCAGGGCCTCTGCTGCCTCCCACACAGCGGTCAGTAATTGCAGCCCCCACCCAGCGCAGTCACCTGCCGCCTCGGGGACTGGCAGCAAAACTATCGCGTTGTATGTGATCATGTCAAGACAGTGCTCGAGCAAGGAAATTTATCTAACACCCTCGCCTGTACGACCCAAAGGGAAGCCTCTGTTACATCTGTCAGTCCAGTGACACTGCATGTTTTCATTCAAACCGTAGAGATAAATACACAAATTAAATTCATACGAAGCTAGCGCAATAAATATGACCGTAGCCCCGACCCAAGTTTCTGAGACAAATACACCCAGCAGAATGCCAACCGCGTCCCTCAGAAGGGCTGTGTCCCAGGGAAATCGAAAGGGCCCGGATTAAACGCACACACAGCTGCGGCGCTGCGGGCATCCTGACGGGTCATGCAGCCTCCCGGGCCCCGCCCGGCGGCCTCGCCGCGGAATGTGCCACCCAGCCAGCCCGGGGTCGCCGCGGCCTCCCGCCCCCGCCGCGGCCCCAGCCCCAGCCCGCACCCTCGGTCCCCACCCCAGGTCCCTCCGCGGCAGCGCACCCACCTTGGCGCCGATCTGGTTGCCGCACTGGCCCGCCTGGATGTGCACGATCTCGCGCATGGTGCCGGCTGCTGAGCGGGTGGCGCTGGCCCTCGGAGCGGTGCGCGGCGTGGACCGGCGGGCTTAGCTGCGCAGAGACCTGCCGCCGCCCCCCAGCTCCGTCTTTTATACCCGGGGACCCGCCCTGCCCGGTGACGTCATGACGGGCGGGGCTGCGGCCGCGGGGGTGGTGCGGCTGGGACTGCGGCACCGCGAGGGGGAGCCGGGGCGCGGTGCGAGGTGTGGGGGCGCTCGGCCCGTTGCGGCTGCAGCTGGGTCTGGGGTGGGCCGCCGGCCCCGCTGTCCCGCGGTTAGCGCAGTGCCCGGACCTCGGACCCCGCCGCAGCCCCCTGCCGGATCCACGGGCGCGGGCGACCCCTGGGGCTGGGTTCTTCGCTTACGCCGCAGTCCCCACCCCGCCCCGCCCACTCTGGACCCTCAAGGAGGGCTGGAGACCGGGGCCCCGGAACCAGGGGGAGGGGCTGCCTCGGAACAGGGTCCTCGCCTCCTAGGGGCGGGGAGAGGTGTCGAGTACCCTTTGGATGGGGAACTGGAAATTGAAGACCCATTTGCAGTGGGCTCTCCAGCGGGTAGCAAAGGTTTCCCGCATCCTGGGCAGGGGCCAGGACGCCGTTGGGGGGCGGTGGGCAGCGTGGAGAGGAGTGTGGAGCCCCGGGGAGCCGACGGGCAGTTGCCTGAAAGGAATACCAGGATGGCGGGGTGGGCGCCCTTTCGCTCCTACAGGGAAGGAATATGGCTTGGTCTGGGGTGGGAGTTGGGGGTTCTAGAAAAGGGCTGGATTTGTCACATGTCTGCTTTGGGCTCCTGCGTCCTTGTGAAGGCCTTTTAAATGTGGAAAATTCTGCGTGTGTGTGTGTGTGTGTGTGTGTGTGTGTCAGAGAGGAAAGACAGGAGGAATATATCTGCCACGTTGATGTGTCAGCTGATGGCCCTGCCCCTTACACCCCTTAGGTCACCTGATCCTCCCAGAAGCTTTCGGAGCTAGGCTGTCCAGTTCCGTAGACCCTAGGCAAGGTGGCTGCCGAACATTGAAACGTAGGTAGTCTGAACTGAGATGTGCTGTTAAGTGTGACGTATACACTGGATTTTATGGGCTCAGTAAGTTAAAATAATGTGAAATATTTCATTATTGATTCTTAAATATTGATGGTCTATCAAAATAATAGTGTTTTGGATACATTGTGTTAAGTGACTTGTTTTGAGATTAGAAAATGTAAAATTACATACTTGGTTTCCATTTGCTGCTCACTTATGCATATTTTTGTGGACTACCACTGGCTTGGGGTAAGCATTATTACTACCCCAATTTCATAGCTCGGAAAGCGAGGCTGAAAGACCTGACCAGTCACAAAGCTAGTAAAGGAAGGAATCTAAAGTCTTTGTATAAAGAGAAAGCCTGGGTGAGTTTTAAAGGCTTGGGTGGGCTGTGGTAAGGACCAGCCTTAATTATTCACAAAGATGGCCCTGCACAGTGGACTAGGTAACAGGGGCCTGGGGACTGCCTTTGGTTCCCAGCACATTCCGACTATATAGTGATGATAATTACAGATGCCCTGGAGCTGGCTTTGTGGTAGGAAATGAGAAGCCATATATGAAAGCACACTGAGTTTATGGAGCAAAAATGCCTTGGTAAAACCCAAGGTGATGCTGTCATTCTTAATGTGCACCCTACTTGCCACCTCAATAGTTGGTCTGTATCTGAGGTAGAAAATAAAGCCAGATGTCTATGAGTAGCCTCTTAGGCCAAGTCAGGTCTTAATCACCCCAGCTTTAGGAAGTGCCCAGCATCCTCCCAGCATGTAGGTAGGCAGGTGCCTAGTGCCTCTTCACAGGGTGGGGACAGATTTCCTAGAATTTCTCCTCTCTCCCCTCTCCCTGCTGCTGGGCCCCCAGTGGACAGCCTGTCCCTGGGATGCCACTCCCAGGTACCCAGGGCTTGGCCTCCACCTTCTCCCCACCCCCACCCCACCTCCCACATCTTGGCTCTTCACCACCAGCCGGAGCCTTCCAGAACCTCTCCAGAGAATGGCTTTTCTTGGGGTACCTTCACTCATTACACAGTTCTGAAAAGATTTTTCCGGAGATAATTGCTTCTTGGCCTTTGTGTTTTAATTCAACATGAAATCTGAGGCCAAATAGGAGCAGAAGATGAGACCTGAAAGGGACAGCACTGGGGACACGGGGACCCCTAGCAGCTGGGTGTTTCCCGGCCTGTGGAGCATGTGACCACTCTGCTGTTCCTAGCTCAGTCCTCCAGCAAGTCACTGCACCTCTCTGAGCTTCTCTCACCATATCTGAAGAATGGAAATGGGTTTTTCTTACATTGGGAAGCTGAGAGGCACTGTCTGTGAACTGGACATCAGTGAGCGCACAGAAAATAAATCCATGGCAGGGCTCATGGGCACAGGCCAGGCCCCTGACTGTCTGCTCTGGATGGCTGGCAGTGAATGTTCTGCCCAAGTCAGCCTTCTCCTGCCTGGCAGCTCACGCCCAGCCTACTTCTCTCTGGCGCCCTCCTCCCTCGGCGCCGCCCGTGATGTGTTAGTGTATAATCAGAGAAACTCACACGCGGAGTTTTAAATAATGCCTGCCCTGCCTAAGGTGACTCATCTGAGGCTGTGAGTTCCTGTTCTCCCCTCCCTCGCCGCAAGTGTAGATATCCCCAACCCCACCTTGCTGTCACTAAGCAACTCGACCTTGTATAGCACCGATGAGATAACAGACGAAATGGAGCCTGCTAATTCTCCCCTTCCCTAGAATAGGCTTTTGAGGAGCAGTCTCTCCCCTTTCATCCATTTTTTGGCGTCTAAAGAGGAGCAGCTCCACTGGCTGTTGGGTGGGCCAGGGATGGGGAAGGGGAAGGGGACCAACCTCCTCCAGCCTCAAGTCACTTCCTGCTTTAGACAGGATGCCACGCGCAGTGTCTGAGCCACCCCTACCCTGAAGGCATCATTGGCGCGGGGGGGAGGGGGGCAGGAGGGGAAGGGAAGGGCAGGTGTAATGACAAAATTCAGACTAGAGAATGTGTTTCTGGTAGGAGGCTGAGCCACATCTGTCTTTTACAGAAGGACATAATCTCTTACCCTTCTGCCTGCTCTTCCTGCCTCCTGCTTCAGAGGGCCCAACAAGAAGGGTCCTGGCAAGAATGTTCTAGTGAAAAGTACCCTGTGAATATGTGGTGTTAGGATGATATCATTACTGTTCATTGATGCCATCTCTAAGGGTGACAATTATGATCTAGTTGAAACAGATTTAGTTGGTCCAAGTAAGAGAGTCCTGGAATTTTGAAAACACCAGTTTCTTCTGCAGAATGATGAAAACCCAAGGACCATCCCAGCAACACAATTGTCTAAATTCGTATGGAACAGTCTTGCATCCTGTTTGTGCCCTCAGAGGAGGCCCAGGGAACTAGCCGCACTCTCCGCTCCAACTTCTTTCCCATGAAACTCATCCAGTGTAACCCCTGTCTGCTATTTTTTAAATAAAAGCATCTCTTTATGAAGATGGAAGAATTTTGTTCAAAGCATGTAAGGGGATGTAACCTTTTCAAAAGGTTACCTAAAATAAAACAGTCTGAACTCCAATTAAATTTAATTTTAAAATATCAACCCCACCAAAGTTTACAATTTTTTTTTTCAGATGACTATAATAATACAGAGTAAATATACAGAAGTTTTTTTAGCCACTTTCTGGGATGGGCTATGTCCCAGAATGTGACATTCATATTACAAGTGTCAATCTGGGGCCTTTCAAAACTGAAGATGTCTTTTTTTTTTTCTTTTCTTTTGAAATGGAGTCACTGTCGCCCAGGCTGGAGTGCAGTGGCATGATCTCGGCTCATTGCAACCTCTGCCCCCCAGGCTCAAGCGATCCTCCGGAGTATGGGATTACAGGCGCGCACAACCATGCCTGGTTAATTTTTGTATTTTCTTTTTTTTTTTTTTTTTTTTTTTTTTGATATGGAGTCTCGCTCTGTTGCCCAGGTTGGAGTGCTGTGGCCGGATCTCAGCTCACTGCAAGCTCCGCCGCCCGGGTTCACGCCATTCTCCTGCCTCAGCCTCCCGAGTAGCTGGGACTACAGGCGCCCGCCACGGCGCCTGGCTAGTTTTTTGTATTTTTTTAGTAGAGACGGGGTTTCACCATGCTAGCCAGGATGGTCTCGATCTCCTGACCTTGTGATCCACCCATCTCGGCCTCCCAAAGTGCTGGGATTACAGGCTTGAGCCACCGCGCCCGGCCAATTTTTGTATTTTCAGTAGAGACGGTTTCGTCATGTTGGCCAGGCTGGTCTCAAAGATGTCATTCTTGATGTCAAATTCTCATTAAGCTATACCCGAAAATTTTTTTTAAAAAATACAATGTACACAGCAATTATATATACATATATCTTATATACATATTGTCTGATTATAAAATTAGAAACACTTAGAAAGTACTAAAGAGTACAAGTGTATCTTTCCACTGTTCTCGAGATTTTTTTTAATGCTTGATGTATTATATTCCTTTTTGTTTGTCCTATTCATGGGCTGTTTAGATGTTTTTGTTCCTTTATAATTTTTTTTTTTTGCCTTCAACATTAAGAATGAAGAAATACTATATCTTCTTATGCTATGACTTAGACATAATCTCACAAATTCTCAAAAACCTGTAACCTTCTCCCAACTATCATCGTCCCCATAATCTGAGGTGTCCGGACCATACTGAATTATCTGAGCAAACTCATCTCTGCTTCCCGTGACTAAGGCCGTTTAGAGGACTGGAATAAGTGTCCCCCACTTCAGTGCCGTCCTGCCGTGTTCCCTGACTGCTGAGGAGCACAGGGCCTAGAGTCGGTGGACTGGGTGCGAATCCTCACTCTGTCACTTCTTAGCTGTGTGATCTCAGCAAGTTACTTAACCTCGCTCTGCCTTAGTTGCCTCATCTGTAAAGTGATAGTAATAATAGTACCCGCTTCCTGGGGTTGTGATAAAGCCCGAATGAATATGTGAAAGCACTTACAATACCACCTGCCCCAGTGTTATATAAATATTAGCTATTATAACTGGTTAATCCCGTCCTCTTCCCCGCTCCTTCCCTCCCTTTTTTTCTCCCTCCTTCCCCTCCATCCCTGGAGCTCTTCTTCATGAATCAGGACTCAATTCCAGAGCCACTTACGAGGCTCCCTTGCGGCGAGACTGCGGTCTCCTCCGGCCGCACGCTCTTCTGCACACAGCTCCGCACTACGCTCCTCGCCCCTAATCCCGAGGCTGGCGCTGCAGAATGAGCGAGCGCAGGATCTCTAAGCGCCAGCCGAGGCACCATCGGAACGCTCTTGCCCCCACCCAGACCCCGAAAGTCTGCAGGTCCAGGGTCCCTCTGCCCCACCTCTGCACCTTCCAGGGCAGAGGGCGCCGGGCGGCGCCGGGCGGCGCGAGGCACCCGGGAGAGCCGGCTCCGTGGCTTCCTACTGCCGGACTCCCTGACCACCTAGTTCTGGACCCAGGCTTCTTCACCCTTCGCCGGGGCTGGGCTGCCAGGGACTCGGGGTGGGGCCACCACGCTGTCTTCTTCCTTCAGGAGCGCCGGGGCGCGCGACCCGCTCCATTTCACGCTCTAGGCAAACGGCGGTTCGGGAAAGGCTGAGCTTGGCCCCCTCCCCGCAGTGAGAGCGCGGCACGGCGGGGCGGGGCGGGGCGGGGCGGGGCGGGGCCTCCTGCGGGCGGGAGAGGCCCTGGGGTGCGGGGCCTGCGGCGCAGAGGGAGGGCGTGGCTGCGCCCCCTGGAGGCCCTGCCCGTCCCGCCCCGTCGCGCCCTAAGACTCGGGTTCCGCCTGGAGGCCGCCGCCGCCCCACCCTGCCCGTCGCCGGGGCGGCCTGAGCCTCTGTGCCAAGATCGGACGGCCTTTGCAGCGGGAGCAACAACCATTCCCACAAATTCATGAAATACCAGGCGGGAAATGCGCTCAAAATAAGACGTGCCTTTTTTTTTTCTTTTTTTTTTTTTTTTTTTTTTTGTAGCTGTAAGAGAATTTCGAAGTACTTTTTTTTTTTTGAGAGGTGCAGTCTTGGTCTGTCACCCAGGCTGGAGTGCAGTGGTGCGATTTGGGCTCACTGCAACCTCCGCCTTCGCCTAACAGCCCTGTAGTACAAAAATAACAATAGGGAATATTTTAATGGGGGGTGGGCTAATTTTGTTAAATTTACTTTTTGATGCCACCACATTTTGTTGCTAGTGTTAATGAAACGCCACCGATAGCTGGCTGCCAATGTATATATTCTGTGTCTCTTCTTAATTAGGAAGAACATTTGTTCCTTCCATTACCTCAAGTTTGCCCGGCATGGTCAGTTTTACCATTAGTCACCACAAGCACAGTGCTAATTAGTTTTACAGACCTAAGAAAACGTTTGAGATCAGAATTGGGGTGTGGGGGGTATAAGGGGACTGATGACTCCAAAATAAGAAAGGAAAATTGCAGTAGTAAAATGAATGTTTATTTAAATGTCTACAGAATATATCATGTCAATTAGTCAAAGACAACTCAACTTTTATATTGTAATGTATAAATTATAATTAATGTAAAAAGCTAAAATAGAAAATGAAACGTGTTTAATATGATATGAGACTGTTCCTCCAAAAGAGTGCCAGTGACCTCCAGAGCTCCAGCTGGCTCCATTCATCACCCACTTTTAGTATCATTTTCTGGTTATGAAGAAATGAGTAGAATTATTTTTTTGAGACCGAGTCTTGCTGTGACCCCCGGGCTGGAGTACGATAGCTCGATCTCAGCTCATTGCAACCTCCGCCTCCCCAGTTCAAGCGATTCTCCTGCCCCAGCCTCCCAAATAGCTGGGCCTATAGGCGTGTGCCACCACGCCTGGCTAACTTTTGTATTTTTAGTAGAGACAGGGTTTTACCATGTTGGTCAGGCTGGTCTCAAACTCCTGACCTCAAGTGATCCGCCTGCCGCAGCCTCCCAAAGTGCTGGACTTACAGGTGTGAGCCACTGCGCCCACCCAGAATTTTTTTAATAACTGAAAGAAAGAAGGAGATTAAGGAAGATGCAGACAAATATGCAGGAGAAACACTCTCTGAGGGCAATTTAACAGAGCAGCGAATGTGGAAAGGGGAAGGGGAGGTGCTCCTTTTATGCCCAGTTTCCTTGGGAGGAAATCGGGTAGGTGGCCAGGGGTTGCGGGCAGTCATTCCCCTTACTGACCCTCAGGGGCCTCAAGGCCAAGAGCAACTTGGTTGCTGTACATGGGTTAGGGGAAGAGAGGAGAGTTAGGGTGCATGATAGGATAGAGAGGGAATGTACAACTGGATATTTCTATGTACTTGGTCTTTCAAAATTCAAAATTTGCTAACTCATGAATACTTGCATACTGTCATAATTTACAGATGCCGTTTAAGGTTGGATAGTTTTGTAATTAATGAGGCATTGTGGATCTCATTGAGAGGCCAATACTGACTCTATGAGTGAAAAACCACCAATTGTTTTTTCTCTGTTCTCACGGCACAACACCCAACACAGAAGATTTCTGTGACCCAACGTGTAGGTGGGTTTCCCCATACACCAAGCAGGAAATCGATTCTGCAGCAGACACCAGCTGGGTGTCCTCGACTTCCGTTCCATTCTGACACCGTCTACCTGCAGATAGTGTCAGATCCCACAGGCTGAGGCTCAGTCCCCCAGGCTCTCCCCACCACCTTCAGATGCCAACTGCAAGTGCCAGGCTGTGCCTCTGACCAACTGGCTATAAATCCGGGATTCCAGGGTCTCCTCTTTGGGTTCAATTAATTTGCCAGAGCAGCTCACAGAACTCAGGGAAATACTTACCTACATTTCTTGGTTTATTACAAAGGATATTACAAAGGTTACAGATGAAGAGGTGCCTAGAGTGAGGTATGGGCAAGGAGTCAATGCCCTCCCAGGACATGCCCCACCCCCCGTAGCCTCTATATCTTCAGTTACCTAAAGGTCTCCAAACCCAGTCCTTTTGGGTTAGTTTTTAATGGAGGCTTCATTATGTAGGCCTGATTGACTAAATCATTAGCCACTGGTGATCAACTTAACCTTCAGCCCCTCTCCTCTCCAGGGAAGTTGGGGGTTAGGGCTGAAAGTCCCAACCCTCTGATCATGCCTTGGTCTTTCCAGTGACCAGCCCTGTCCTGAAGCTACCTAGGGACTGCCAGCCACCAGCTGACTCATTAGCATAAAAAGATATCACTTTGGAGACTTTAAGGATTTTAGGAGTTGTATGCCAAAAAACGAGTTTGAACATATACTTCATAATATCACACCGACCTTGGAGAAATGAAGCTGAAAACAGCATAGGCTGAGGCCATCCATGGTGGGGAACGCCCAGGCTGAGGATGAGACGAGGGAGTGAGGGCAGAGGCTGAGCGGCTCCGGAGCTGAGTCAACAAATGAGCTGCTAAAAGTGACCAGAGATTAATGCAAGAATCAGAATCTGTGACACAGTCTCAGATCTGGCTGAAAGGCCTTGATGGGGAAGCAGGACGA